TTTCAGGCTGGACATAAGGAAGAATTTCTTTACTGTCCAAGCCCCCAAGGTCTGGAACAGCCTGCCGTCGGAGGTGGTTCAAGCACCTACATTGAACACCTTCAAGAGACATTTGGATGCTTATCTTGCTGGGATCCTATGACCCCAGCTGACTTCCTGCCCTTTGGGTGGGGGGCTGGACTCGATGATCTTCCAAGGTCCCTTCCAGCCCTAATGTCTATGAAATCTATTAAGTATGTGTCTTTGTGGTTTCATCACCACTGAGATCAATTCCAAGGTCTCTCCCTAAGCACACGTCTTCAGGGCATGCTGCATCCACTGAGATGCGAGGAACTAGAATCTGTTTAATACTCAGACTTGAAAGACACCTGACAATTTTCCTGTGAGAGCCTGCATACTCCGAGGGAAATGCAACAGCCATTTCAGCTGCATGACTGCTTTTTGTGGTTAACAGAACCACCCAAACACCAAGATACAATTTGATTACCAGCCTGCAGAGCTTCAGTGGGTGGGAAATGTCTCATCCAGAACGGGAATATATTGAATACATGCCCTTGATTTGCTGTTTCTGCTTGTTTCAGGTCTACAACTCAGCTCCCAAGAGATACACGGGTGCAAACAGCTAGCAAAGAAGAGATGCCACCTTCAATCCCACATGCTTTCCTCAAGCATCTGCTTGTGTGTGGCAGACGTTGGTAATAAACCCTTTTATTATCGGGACTTTAAAAGCAGCCCAATCACTGGGTCATTGTACAGAATGGGGGGAAGTAAAATCTGTACTGACATTTGTTTTGAATAGAGAGTGCTTGCAGCCCTCATGCTGAGCTAAGATTACAGGATGTGGTTGATTTAAGATATCTGCAAACCATTCAAAATGCTAATGGGTTCAGCCTCCCTATCCATCATGCGATATTCCATAACTATCCATTAACACGAACAAGCAGAAAGATATGTTGGATTAAATGAAAAGCTTGTGGGAAACTCAGCAGAAAGTGAATCCACAGTTCATTACCTTTTCCCGCACTGGCATTATTGAAATCAATGGGCAGCAGCACTTCACCAATTCGGAGGGCAGCATTGCAACGTAGTCAGGAAGGTAGAAGCACATACTTGCTCATCTTATTCAGTGAACTAGCCACTGACCTCTTACATCATACAGTAAATCCACATGGTAGGTTTGCAGCTCTTTTTCATACCCACTTTCACAAGATGTGAAAGCTTTGTTTGCTGTTCTGGGTTGGTTTCTTTCTAGCTTTGGAAATTGGCAATGTGCTTGCCCGGGCTAGGCAGCAGTGCTTATTTATTTTTACTTCTAGGGCTGATTTATTCTGCTGAAGTTAGAACCGCATTGATTTTATCTGTGGCAGTACACCTGCCTCACACCACTATAGGACAGGTCAGGATGTCAGTGGAGAGTGTATGCGACTTGTGCTCCTCAGGGCACAGAATGCGTGCCATGCTCTTCGTCAAATCCCATGTAAATGTAATGCAATTTATAGCGTCATCCAACTGATACTGAAATAAATGGATTATGGAAAACTGAAATTTGGTTAATTCCTTATTAAATCCTACAAAACAAAGGCAGCTAAGTCCCTTGTGCTCCTGTTTCATGAAGTCAGCATGTCTGATCCTCTCAATTTCATTGCAAAGTTAGCCAAGAGTGGTAACTTGACCCAAGTTTTCTTTCCACATCTCCCTTCTTGTTACCAGAGGTCTGAAAGCAGCCTCTAGAACCACTTGTCCTCCCATGGATTTTTGAGTTAGATCATTTATTCTGATCTCCAAAATGTCACAGGTCTAGATTTTCATTTAAGAGTATAATTGCAACTTGCCCTTTTATCTTTTGCCCATTATGCCTTTATTATTCACATAACAGTTTGCCTTTATACAGCACCTTCAAGGCCAAAGGATCCCAATGCAAAACATATGCTATACATGAAGAATAGATCACAAAATCAAAATGAAACTTCTCTCTAACAGCAGAGGGCAACAACACACAACAGCTTTACAGAAAGCTATGGAAAATTGGGAATGTCTCATCCAACCAAGACCGCCAGCAAGGCAGTATCAATTACTCTGGGCTAATATCTGTGCTTATGGGAAGTGCCACAACCACATCTTTTCCAAAATGTTGACACCTCCTGTAGTAAAAATACCATATAGCACCAGGCTAATGCATTAACTTGAGAGGAAAGCTGCCACCTGCTGCTGTTCTGCAACAGATGCGTCTGTCGCGCTCCTGTATTCAAGAACAAACCTAGCCCAAAGCTGCTTTGCTAGGGAGGACGGAGGAGATAACAGCACCAGGAGCCATAGTTTTAATCCACAGTTGATTAAAAATGAAACAAACACAAACCACTATACCGGTTGGAAGCTTCTCAGCTATGTATCCAACGTTAAGAATTCATGGGCTGAGCCCTGTAAGGAGTCATCACCAGGGAGGGCTATTCTGCAGTTGCTCGGGGATGCAGGGGGGTAGTTAGGAAGGCCAAGGCAGAGATGGAACTGGGACTAGCTTCCCAGATTAAGGACAATAAGAAGTCCTTTTTTAAATACATAGGGGGTAAAAAGAAGGTCCTGGGTAATGTGGGG